CACGAGATGCTAACAATGTGTATATGTCTGCATGTTTTTATTTTTTTCTTTCAAACAAATATCTTTCAACTTCTTTCAAAAACACATAAACTGAACATTTACGTGCATGCGAATCAAAAAGTGCACATTCAGCAAATGTGCATGTGAGCTATCATATTCCAATTTGCCTTTGAAATCTATTTATTATTCAATTGCCCACAACACCTGATGCATACATTTATGTATAGTGTAGTATAGTATAGTACAGTATAGTATAGTATTAATATATATATATATATATATATATATATATATAAATATATATATATAGTATTAATATATATATATATATATATTTACAATATTCTATAAATTCTATTGAATGTTTGGCGTTAATATGTTTGTAGTTCATTTTTTCGATTTTTCTCACTAAAGTTTTTTGGTGAACGTTTAGATTCAAAGTTCAATTTTACAACACCAAAGTTCAATTTTACAACACCAAAGTTAATTTTTACAACGTCAAAGTTCATCTTGACAAAGTCAATATTTCCCTATATATACAGCAAGGAGCACTGATGATGATTCATTCGGAATCGAAATATGGCCTTATTTGCAGCATGAATTCGAAAAATAAGTTTATTTTGAATTTTAATAAACTAAACGTTCACCAAAAAACTTTAGTGAGAAAAATGGAAAAAACGAACTACAAACATATTAACGCCAAACATTCGGTAGAATTTATAGAATATTGTAAAAATTATGGTCTATTACCAACATATATATATATATATATATATATATATATATATACATATATATATATACATATATATATACATATATATATATATATATATATATCAATTTTTCAGATACGTAACCGGTCGTTACAGGTGTGCCACAGGGATCGATCTTAGGGCCCTTATTATCTGTTTTATACACGGCAGATGATTTTCGATTAAATGATTCATTTGGTTTCTTCCAGTCCCGCTTAAGCTGATGATATCCAGATCATTGTTAGTGAACCACCTAGTGAATTCCCAGTTATGTTGAACAAATTCATCCAATGTCTGACGAAATTAAATGTTTAGATGTCTAGCAACTGTTTAAAGTTGAATCAATGTATAACGCATTTTATGCCCAGTGGAACATGGCAACAGCTCTCAAGAGTTAAAATCGATTCAGCTATCATTAATCATCAAGAGATTAAATTTTTTCCAGGGCTGTCAACTTTGGTTGCATCCTGGACCCACAGCTAACAATCCCCGGGCCTCTTAGTCTCATACATTCACAACACGCACATTCATGTAGCGCTCAATCGTAAATTTTAGCTTTTTCCAGTTCAACGTTTATGTTTTTTGGCCAAAAAACATCCGTAAGCAACGAATAAATATACGAAAATAAGTTACATATATAAAAAGATATAATTCTTATAATTTATCTATGTATATAATAATAATTCCACGTTTTCGAGACTGTAAATAAACGCGCGATCTCTGTCTTCTGCTTGTGGATGATAATGTGTATTTTACTGCTCCTCTCCGCTAAGCCGAGACAAGTTAGCCTTCTTCCGTCTGCTTCAATATGATCTGGCACCGGACACGTGATTTATTGTTGGGTTTACTTTTAAATATTAATAAATAAATCAGTAAATGCGTGTATTGTAATAATGTAAATTGATGTAAAATAATTACATAAATGATTGTATAAATATATAAATGTGCAGCTCTAGGTTTTATCAAAACATGCACTCTCAATAGGAATGATACGTACTGAAAAATAATGCGCGAAAAACCAACCAGCCATTACAGTGAAATGAATCTTACAACATTCAATGAAGAAGCAACGCTTGTTGGAGATGAATTGTATGAGGTAGAAGAGATTTAATAGGCGGAAGAGTGTTTTCGCTTTGTCGACGAAGGTGTGTCAGACAATTAAATTGTGTGAATAAATTTTACATTACTTATTTGACTAACAATAAACCTGTTAATATGAATTATATTTTATTCAATTAAATTAAACCGATATGATATCAATTTATGAATTTTCTTCAAACTTCCATCATATAAGTACAACCGCTGGAAAGATTAATATGGGAAAAATATGATCAGACGAGAATACACCAATAGTTACATTAACGTATATGATAAAGTGAGAACGATAAATCGCAGAACGAGTTTTGCTAACCAGACAAACAACAGCAAATAAACTTTCAACCCGCCCATCACTACTTCCATGTTTGTTTATGACGTCAGGCAGTCACGTGTCGTAATATGACACGTTACTTCCGGCAAAGAAATCTAATATAGTCAGTTCGGCGATGATATGTTATTTGTATGGCGCGAACATTTGTATGCCTGTGCATTTGTATAGTTGTATGCTTTGTTTGTTATATGTCTTTTTGTATATCTGTATGTTCATATGTTTGTTTGTACGCAAGGCGCTTGGCAATTTTCAAGATAAACGAAAGGTTGTTTACTCGCGTGAGATAAATTGGTTTTACTGTGGCGTTCATGTATTTTGAAGATGCATTGCGCGGTACGTACGTAATGAAGTTATTTATTCAAACATCCCGAAAGTTAGAAGATGCTAATATTGATAAATTGCGGATGGGCATTTTTCAAAAGCCTTGAAAAGTCTTCTAATGCAAAGTATAAGAAGTGGTCGTTGTTGGATTATTGGCCGAATAAATATTTTGATTATCCTCCCCTGTGAATCGAGGAACTGTGTGGAGATTTGATTTTTTAAGAGCATGGACGAACAAACAATGGAAAGAATAAAAACTAAAAAAAATATAAATTTACCAATAATATTATAGTAAAAGTACTACTAGTATTAATAAAAGAGAATAAATGAAGCAACAAAAACAAACATGAAACAAACATGGAAACAATATATAAGTTAAAAAGTTCAAAAAACAACGAACAGCACATGGAAACAGAAATACAAACTTATAGCCAAACGAACCAAAAAAAACAAATGCGACACAAACAAAAAACAAAACAAAATACATACCAAATGAAAAAAGAATCAAAAAAATAGAATACAAGAGAACGAGCTGAGAAATGGCGGATTATCCTCCAGTGAACAATAACGTATAATGTATAACGTTATAATGTGATATAGACCTGAATAAAAAATATAACAAGATAACATTGATGAATTTAATAACAATAATAAATAACAAATCAACTTATGATAAATCTTGGATAACTAATAAAAACAACAAAAAAATTAAAATTAATAATTTTTTTGATTTAGTCTCAGATGAATTTCAACTTACACGAGAAATAAGACACCGTAGAAACAACCCCAAAAAAAAAATCCAGTAATTATATTTAAGTAAAAAAATATATTGATGAGCAGCGGCATGTATGAGAGAATAAAACAACCTAGCCCAGAGATGATGGATGGACTTGGTATGGAAGGACATCACTCAAAGGCACGTGTATCCATTTCTTATTCCATGCCAACTCAATATACCATAATACAGATACCGATAATAATTTATTACATACTCTTTCATAAGCATACGATAAATAGGTTAAATGCATATATATTAAATAACTATTCCACAAATATGCATACATTTAACATACAATACAATGCATGCGTGCCTACTTGTATCCCATCCGTGTGTCATGTTTGTATGCTCTGGTCCCTCAAAACATCTTCTATCATAACTGATTCATTTGCATGCATATCAATCTAGACGGGACCGAGTTGTTAGGTGCATTCCTATGTTGTAATTTATTTGCTGATTTAATGAATTCATGCCAGTGCATGCAAACAACTGAAGCGTTAGATAACATCGCATACGTGTACATCCTTCCTCATCGATTCAACGTACGTACATTCATACATACGTACATACATTCATACGTACGTACATACATATACATACATACATGCATAACATATATATATATTATATATAACATACTGTGAGTGTAAAACTAGGTAGCGACAAAAGATGACAATTTTGGCAGACAATAATTTAGATAACCACTCGTTCGCTAGATGCGAACGAGTGGTTATCTAAATTATCTAAATTATTAGTACAACCATCGCTCATACCTAACGAAGATACGCAACTGTCTAATGACTTCAAATATGACCTCGAAAGAACATAAATTAATTAAAACCCATGAAGATATTCACCAATGTGACAATGACAAAAACGCTATTATAACTACAAGCACACACACTCAAGCACATGCATACATAAACATATGAATTTAAGTACACATATGTTAGTACGAACTTATGCTACTAACACATACATACATTTAACGTACATTTACCCACACACACACACACACACACACACACACACACACACACACACACACACACACACACACACACATGCATATATTACTATAGCACGGGTAGCAAAATAAAAAAGATAGAAGTGAAGGAAGCATGTTTCGATGTGAAGGGCGCGAATAATTCAATGAAAGAACCTGTCCTGCCTGATTGAAGCGAGATATTCAGCACGGCAGCAGCCAATGAATGTGGCACTTTCAGACGCGCAGTGCAAAAATTTTTCGGTCCCTCTTCTCTGAGCACGTGTTTTATTTTTCTCACTTCTTTCTTACCCAACATATTATTACATTTTTTCATATAAAAGCATCTAGACAAATATCTTGCTGAAGAGTTTCGAACAATCTTCTCATTCATTCGCATTTACTGCTTCTGAGTACTGCATACTCTCACTCATAGTAAACTAAGTAATGTACGTTGTTAGTCATAGAAAAGTGTGCAATGCACTGTACGGTGTTAGTATGATGAATTGTGTGGTCTCTTCAGAGATAAACTAATTTGAAATCATTCAATTCGTTCAACAATGGAGAAAGCAACTCTTGTCGCTGTCAGTTTTTCGCCATGTGTGGTTTAGAGGGGTTTATCGGCCAATTTATAATCTTTCATTTCGTATGAAACGCTGTGTGGATGGCAGTTGTTAATTTCAATCTTTAAATGTTTAAATAATAATTTTATTGTTCACATGAACTAACAACTTGAAAGATTTTTTTTTATTTAACCGAACAAATTAATATTATTAGATTGCACATCAATGAATTAAATACGAAACTCTTCTCATTCTTCTCAAAGTAAAAATTGCAAATTCACCATAAATCCACCCACAAATTCACTGAAATCACTTGCCATAACACTCAAACCAAAAACAATAGGAAACGTTGCCGAACCACCCAGTAAATATGATTCAAGTATATGAAACGCCATAAAAACATGAAACATTTGTAAAACAATTGAACCTAGAAAACAAAAACACATTCATTTAAATATAAAGTAGCACGCAGTACATGCATCATCATATTACTTACATTGCAAATTGGAAATAGAAATACAAGCAAGCAGCTGCACATAATACATATACACGTGCTGCAATAAAACATGCCATTAAAAACGTCAAAATTGTATTTATACATGTGTATATGTATAAATATGTGTATGTGTTGGTAATAGACCATAATTTTAACAATATTCTATAAATTCTACCGAAACTACCTTCTTTTTAACTTCTAATTCTCGAGAGAGATAGAGCAGTCACTGCTCGCGATCTTGTTCGATTGTTAGATTACGTCGGTTGGTCGCAGAACTTCGAGTAAATGTTGGTAATATGATGCTATCGATGAAGAAAAGGAGACCAAAGAAGATGACCAGCCAATAAAGAAACCTGACACCTAATTCGCATCAAAGTTCAACTTTACAACACCAAAGTTAATTTTTACAACGTCAAAGTTCATTTTGACAAAGTCAATATTTCCCTATATCGGTAGAATTTATAGAATATTGTAAAAAATATGTGTATGTATGTATGTATGCATGTATTTATGTATGTATACTTGTATGTATATATGTATGTGCGTTTGCATGCATGTATGTATATGTATGCGTATATGTCTGCTTAAATATAAACATGTTTGTAGCCATCAGATGAAAAAAAATGTCATTGAGGTCAGAGGAGTGCATATTTAACTTTTTAATAACACATAACAACATCGTCAGTGCGAATGTTCGTACTGACAACAATAGCATGGATTTGATTAGCGTTCTATATTTTTATGATTTTTATCGCCATTACATTTGTTGTTAACATCCTGCTTGTAACATTCCATCATGATAAAAATGCTCTGCTAGACATGAATATAAATTATGCAGAATATAAAAAAAAAGTTGATAAATAACGTCATATACAATCATGTAAAAGAAATTGAATGGCAAACTGATGATGACTCTATAAAATGAAACGAAATGAAAGTTAAATATATAAACAAAAATGGTTAATGGAAAAACAACCATTGTTGAAGTGTTAAGAAAGAATAAAAGAGTTTCAATCATGGAATTTGAATATGGCTCTACAAATAAATAAATATAAATCAGTTGTGGAAAAGAAATAAATATAATAAAATGAATGGTACACACCAACCAGTTAACAAGTGTAACTACAGTGAGCGAAGTTTGAAGACAGAACATTATTAAAAATAGGTATCAAAACGTTAAATCATCAGTTTGATCGAATCAATTAAGAAGATTTTAAAATTACAAAAATAAAAAATAAGATATATTGGCAATTATCATGTGTCCAGGCTATCAACAGAGTATCTGTCATCATCAATATCACCAGCTAACATGTTCGACGCAAGTTCGTAGTGTAAGTTTATACTTCCTGTGGCAGTGCAACCAGTTGGTGTGGCAGAGCCCTGGTTCAAAACCTCATCGATGTCGTTGAAATGATACGAACCATTTCCCTCATCATCATTATCAAAATCATCATCATCGTTGTTGTTCTTTATGATCTCATTAAGATTAGTAGCTGTCCCGTTACAACTTTCAACATTGATTTCTTCAGTTTCGCTCTCGATATGGAAGAGGCAGCTGACATCTGAAGATCTGAAAGTACTGGCGTCGTCGTCGTTGTGGTCGCAGTCGTTTATCGTCACATCCTCGTCGCTGTTGACATAATTTTCGACGGTGAAAGATTTATTTTTTGTACTAACCATTCGGTAACTTTTCTGTTTGACATTCAAATTGTTGCACTGTAGAATTAAGTTGTCATCTTCAACGACGTGTACACTGCTGGAAAGAACCTTCTTGAATGACTCCAGATTGTGCGGCACGGACCTGTGTCTGGTCATGTTCTTGCCAACATCATCATTGTCGCTGTCCTCCGCCAGACTCCTCCTGAGATTTTCTGAAGAAGATGTCTTCAGGTCGAATATCACCGAGATATCACTGGCTATTGTTAACTTCTTCGGACTTTTTATCTCGCATATGACCGGTTTCGAGAAAGATGAAAATGGCGATGGTTTTTCATGGTAATGATGTTCCTTTGAAATATTCAAGCACACCCCACCGTCGTAACTAACGTCATCGTCGTTGTCGTCGTCGTCATGGAACTCGTGTGCAGTGACAAGAGGTGAAATATTATTTCGTCGACAGAGCCTGTCATTAACACATAAGGAGTTAGGTGATTTCGATAGCGAAAATGCATTTTTTGGAGTAGCCACATTCAATGAGCAGTTTTGATTAGTATTTTGAACAGCATTTTTTTCTAGATGTTTGGAATAGGAGGATGAGTTTGTTTGTGTCATGTCAAAACTTCTTGAGACAGATGGAGAATGATCTGAATTCTTTGAAAATTCAAAGACATTGAAATTCTCTTCAAGAGTTGTTCTATCTTTTCTAACTTCGCCTAAATAATAATTATTATTATCACTATTATTATTATTAAAATTCTTATCGTTTGGAGAAAACATATTTAACTGCTGTTTCAATAAGTCTCGAAAGTGTTGCGAATCAATGGAGATATCTGGCACGTCAGGGTCAACATATTGCGGATGGGGACGACGAAAGTTTGATTCACACTGTTGCCAATAACAATCTCTCGATTCCGCACAACCAGTCCCACACGACCCATTCGTGCCAGGCTTCCAGATGGATGAAGTGCTATAACAATTTTGATTTCTATAATTTCTGTCGTCGTAACTACTGGCAAAATGAAAACCATCGCCGTCGTTATTGTCGTAATCATCGTCATCAGCATCAGAGTTGAGCATCCAGGGGTGAATGCTGATTTGTTTGGTGAGAAGTCTCCTGTCGGCGTCAGGCTGGAGGAGGGAGTGGATCAGGTGGTCTAGAGCTACAAAGTCATTTTTAATCAGTTCACAATACTATTTTGAAATGCGCTGTGAATAGAGATGTGAAGCAGTTTTTAATAAAATGTTTTATTAAGCCGTTACACGCATTTACCTTTAGCCAACGGCATTAAAGAGTTTTGTTGCATAATCATTTTGAAAAGAGCAAAAATCAAACCATTTAAAAATACAGCACAAAACAAAAAGAAAATTAATTTACAAAGTCACAAACAAAACAAAATAGTAGACAATTAAATGATGAAAAATAAATGAAATGGGAAAATATAGAGACCTGGAGGTGCATAGGGAGGAACATTGTAGATGCCGTGTATGATGGTCTTCCTCAGCTTACTCACATTCCCACCATCGAATGGCATCGAGCCAAACGACATCGCATACAAGATGACTCCCAGTGACCAACAATCCACCTATTAGCAGTTACACATTCATTCAACAGTGTTATTATGTTGTTACAACAAAATTAAAACTCAACAAAAATAATATTATTAATGCTTCTACTACATATCATTACTCAGAAAACACATTTCTCAAAACAATATGAAAGCATCCAATAGCAACAAATCTCATCATGAGCATCACGAAAACACAGCATGCAGAACACAACACAGAACAAAAGGACCAGCACCTCTGGTCCGTAGTAAGGTTGGGCCCTGATGATTTCCGGGGAGGCATAGAGGGGACTGCCACAGTACGTAAACATCAACTTGTCACGAGAAAACATACTTGCAAGGCCAAAATCTGCTATCTACATTAACAAATTTATAAATAACTAAAGTGATTATTTAAAAATAAATAAAATAAAAATGTGTGCTACTCATCTTGAATAAAAAAGCAACTGTAATAAGATTAATAATTAGAGTGTTAGTTTCTAGATTGCAGTGGCTTGTTTTGAATGCAAAGCAATCCCTGTTTACCACATGCATATGTATTGTGCATTCAATGTGTAGATACTTTGACCTAAAGAAACTTGTGAGCAGCGAAACAACCAACAAATTTAATACAACATGAATGTGATGGCTGAAGTGAAGCAAGTCAGCTTATGTTTGCAGTTTCCTACTTTTTACGGTCTGGTTGTTTTTAAAATTGAATAAACATAGGTGATAATAACGAACAGCTTATAATTGAATGAAATTCACTGAAAGGACACAGGTAGAAACAATTCAAACTTTTGTATCGTTGTTGGCATCCAACAAAATATTTTCCAGCTTCAAATCTCTGTGGACAACTCTTTTCTGAATGAAAATGTAATCAAAAACTCAATAGAAAGAGAAGCAACTCAATAAAAGAGACATCCTCAGGCAGTAAAAAAATCTTTCAGTCAGGAAAAATATTTAAATTCTTGCCAAACACCTCATGTATACAAAACTAAAAAAAATAATTAAAAAATAGACAGACCTTGTGCATGTAGTCAACAGCAGAGACGATCTGAGAGAAAAGCCTTCTGACTTCAACGGAGATGAGACCACCGGGCGAGGCATTCACATAATCAAACAACTCACCATTGCAGGCATACTCCAATGTCATCGTCACTCTTGTGCTACTCTCACATACTAATGCATTTTAAATATTTTACTTTATAAATAATGAAATTTATTATGGAGTTATGATTATTAAAAATTAAAATTATTTCATTTAAGTGAAATTTTAAAATAAAATAATTTTTTGATGATGAAGAACTTGAGGCAAAAAAACTCGATTCTACCATCATGGACAGTTATGATGTGAGGATGATTTAGATTAGCCATAATTTCAACCTCTCGCTTTATTAATGACAATTGTTTCTGGTCATCACAGTTTTGTTTCTTTATTGATTTGATTGCATACTGTTTGATGAAATGTAAATTTTTTTTCAAAAAATTTAATTTTTTATTAAATAAACCAATATTTTTGATGTTTTTCTTTTATTAAAATATCCATAAAAAAATAATTAACTCTATACTAGTAATAGTGATCATTTGCCAAAATAATAAATTATTAACTGTTTGAAAAAACAATTTTAAACTAAAACTTAAGAATGCTTTTAAATTAATTAATAATAGTGAAACATTTAATTTAAATTTAAAAAATTCTAAAAAAATAAAATTATTAAATTATTATGATTCCAAGTTGAAGTTACAGATTGAAAATTATTAATCATAATTATTAATAACAATATTATTCTTTTTTATTCTACTAATTCTTCTAACTTAACTATTGTTAATTATTTATTGAAAATATTAACTATAGTCTATAATACATAATTAAAATAAATTAATAAATAAAAAATAAAATAACTAACTTGTTTGTTGTTAATTTTTGATTGGGCCAAAATGACAGTCCCGTGGGTACCTTTCCCCAACGTCTTCACGTACTCAAAATTTGCATAATTTATTCCTTCGTGGTTCTCGTCGTCCATTTTGCCGGCTGGGAGTCTCAACAATTAATTAGGGAACTGAAACCCATCACATCCAGCATCTCGTCACGAAACTTTTGTAAATAATAAAATTAAGTTCGCTTTCATCGTGCATAGAACTTTATAAAAGATAAAAAATTTATAGGATTTATCTCCAAAGGTCTTGGGTCTTCTAGAACAAATTCTAGAATGTTGTACGAGTCAGGAATGAATGGATGAATAAGTGAATGAAAGAATAAATGAATAGATTAGAATGAATAAAATAAACAGTGGAGGTAAATGAAAAACTTTTATTTTGTCGGTGACATTGAGAAACGGCGATCCAAATACAATAGATCAGCGGTACTCAACCTTTTCAGTGACGTGGACCACTTATAAAGTTCCTGTCTCAGTCGCGGACCACCACTGAAAATTGTGTGTTTTTGCCCGAATCAAAAAACAAAAACATCTTTGAAATGTACAATGTTCATTTGAAATTTATGCATACATGTCAGAATTTGGTTACAAAAAAGTGATTATTCAAATTATTTTAATGTGAGCCTTGAGCACAGTTTATCCACACGAGGTGTAATGCTGGAAAGACTCAAACGTAGATCATCTTCAACATCAAGTCGTGAACGATATTTTGTCTTAATTGAAACTAGTGCAGAGAATTCACATTCACAAAGATATGATGTCGCAAAAGGTAAAATAATTTTAAAAGCTTGCTCAGACAGTTCTGGATATTCATGTGAAACTTGAATCCAAAACTTCATCAAGCTCACTGTTTTGTGGAAAATTTTCAATGTAGAATCACTGGTGAGGTCAATGAATTGGTTTAATTCTGATGTTGGCAGATTTAATGAATCAGCTTTTACAAGAAACGGACTGGATACCCACAAAAAATTCTAAATGTTTATATCACCAAAGTAGATGTGGAGTTGATCCAGCAATGATTGAATATGTCCAGAAATTAAATTTATCAATTTTGTTTTATCAATCTCAGCATTTTCTGGTTTCTCAGTAAATTCGTGTAATTGATCAAACATGTCAAAGTTACCTTCCAATATTTTTCGCTTCCAAAGATCAAGTTTTCTAATAAAAGCCGATACTTTATCACTGAGCGTGATTAAGTTTGTCTGTTTCCCTTGCATAGATGAATTCAGTTTATTTAGCTGTTCAAAAATATCAGCCAAATAAGCCAGAGTAGCAACCCATGAATTGTCATTCAAATAAGCTGCAAGTTGGGGATTTTTTTCTTCAAGAAACTCTTTCAAAGCATCACGCAATTCATAGAGTCTGTTAAAAACTTTCCCCCTCGATAACCAGCGAACTTCAGTATACATCAGTAACTGTTCATGTTCCAGCTCCATATCTAAACACAAGGCAGCAAAGAGGCGAGAATTCAGTGGACGTGTCTTGATGAAATTAACAATTTTTATAGCCTGATTAAAAATAGACTTTAACTCGGCACTCATTTTTTTACATGCAAGACTTTCTCTATGAATCATACAGTGAGTAAATTTGGCAGTGGGCACATTTTCACGTACACGTTCCCACAAGCCAGTTTGTTTTCCTGTCATTGTTGCTGCACCATCAGTGCACACTCCAACACACCATTGCCATTCGATGCCATTGAATGTCATGAAATTATCAAGGATTGCAAAAAGTTCTGCGCTTGTTGTATGACCTGGGCAAGTTTTACAAAACAACAAATTTTCTTCAACTTCATCCACCCAAATATATCCCACATAAGCCATTAATTGTGCCTGGCCAGACACATCTGTCGATTCATCCAATTGAATTGCAAATTTTTTACAATCTTGTAGTCTGGAAATTAATTGTTTTTTAACATCACCTGCTGCCAAAGTAATACGTCGTTGAATTGTGTCATTTGAAACTGGAATTGTTTTTAGTTTACTTGCTATGGCTTCGCCAAATATTTCTCGACACATATCTATAGCAGCAGGCATTATTAGAGTCTCGGCAATTGTGTGTGGTTTTCTCGCTTTTGCAATTTGAATAGCCACTAAGAATGATGCTCTTAAAGCTTTCTCGTTGACTTTTGTTGCTTTTGAGATGCATTCCTTCTGACTAGCAAGTGACTGTTTCTTACGCATAAAATATTCAAGTGGTTTTTCTGAGCAATCAGGGTGATTAGTTTTAAGATGTCTTTGGAGTTTTGCAGGTTTCATTGCTTCATTTGAAAGAGTTTGTGAGCATATTACACACTGTGGTTTAGGTTGATCATTTACTGTGACACAAATAAATCCAAAACGCAAGTATTTTTTATCATATCGTCGTACGGTTGTTCGTCTTTTTTCTCTCAGAACTTCAGTTGTTTCACAGCCACTCGAGTCAGAGGAACTATCATCGTTTTGATTTTGTTCATTTGTTTTTTTGGTTAGAAATTTATCCATTTATTTTTTTAAATTTAATTATTTGTACATGTACTATAATTTTTATAAGGTCTTTAAAATTTAAACTTGAAATACTTGAAATGCTAAAATGTCAACAAGCAGACGTGAGATTTCCGGTGGTGTGATTAAAAGTAAACATAATTTAAAACGAATTTCATATGTTGCAACAATTTTAGTGCTATATAGCGATTAAAACAAACAAAATTAACCAGATTAATAGTAAGAAAATTTTGTCATCATTTTATAATCTCGGAGACGGCAAAGTGGTTTTTCCAAAAATATTTATTTATAGTCAACAGTTTAAAAAGACTCATAAGCTCCACCCACGGTGCAACTAATAAACTAAATACAGCCTGCATGTTCGTTGGTTAGCGACAGTATAATGTAAACAGCCGAAATACTAAAAAAAGGAAAACTGTTTTTTGAGTAATTATTTTAAAAATGTTATTGAATTTTAAAAAAATAAATAAAATGTAAAACGCTTGACAATGCAATCTACCCTTAAACGATTTTGAATCAAAATATAACCTGAATTTTATGCTTTGTACCATATAATTAGAATATAACGGCCTTCGCTCATTTTTGACGGGCGATACAAAGAGCTTACTTCCGGAGGATAATTGGAGGGTGATTTTTTATCGCCCAAGTCAAAAGTTACGATCTTATATTTACTAATTTCGGAATATTGCTTTTATTTAAAATTTCAAAATGTTTTAAAAGGTGATACTAGATGCTGTTTTGGGATAGAATTTTAAATAAAAAAAATTTTTTGTGAACCACCAACAACACAACACTAAACGACGACTAATTAGTAATTAAATTACTAAACTCTAATAATTAAACTAAAACTAATTTCTACTGGTTCTAATTACTAATTGAAATAAATAACAGATAACACTAACGAACATTAACATATTAGACTACTAGAAACTACCAACCACTACACTAATAGTACATACTACTACTACACTAACAACTAACAGCACTTGTTCCTAAGATCCTAAATTCTATTGCTTGATTGGTTTTAAAATTTTAATTTACAATGCTTAGGTCTGGGAATAAAAAATATACTAAATTAAATAAATATATTAAACAACTTACCAATCAATTTTATAAAATAAACAATTTTGTAATTTGTTTAATTCAAGCTTCAAACTCCCCAAGCTAACTTGCAATTTAATTAAAATTTATTAATTATGAGTGATTCAAACTAAATTTTTTTTATTTAATGTTTTACAAAATATTCCTCATTCTTAAATTGTAGTACATGTTGTTATTAAATTTATTAAAGATAATGTGTGATTCCAGTGATTCATCAATCCATGACTTGTTAGATCATGATCATTCAGTTTTAAAGAATCCCCATCACCATAACCAATGAGGTTTGTAAAAATTGTACTTTTAATTTATTATATTTTATGCACTTAGAATGTTGTGTTATTAACTATTATCATTAATTTATTAAATGCTGTGCATACCTATAGCAAGTAAATAAAATAATTAAGCATAGAAATAGCCACAATCAAATTAATTTATACAGGCACCTATATGATTTGGATAATAATAATTAAAAATATTGGTATCATTGAAAATAAATAGTCATAAATAAAAAATAAATCATAAGTTGCTAAAAATAATAGTTCCTGTAAGATTTTGCCTTACACCTACATCTTTTTTTCATTCTTATATTGTAATAAATGTTTGTCATCAAATATATCAAGGACAATGAGTGATTTCTCAATCCATGACTAGATTGAATGTCATGATCCTACAGTTCCAGAGGATCCCCATCACCATTAGTCAATAAGGTTTGTAGAAATCACCCCAGGCTTACCATCAATGTTTTGTAGCCACCTTTTAATGTAGTGTTAATAAAATGACATTGAGAATAGTTATTTAAAACAATCTTATTAAAATTATTGAACAGGTATGACAAGATTACTTTCTTAATGTCCTAGTGTGAGGAAGATGTAAGCCATTTTCCAAAGATAATCATATGCCTTATGCCCATACAAATGCAGTGTCAACGCGAATGATTTTTGATCAGAGTCATATGTTCTAATTTTTTTAAACTTTTCCAGAAATTTTTCTGTTAATTTATTTGTTACATTAAATACTTGATGAGTATTTCATATAAAAACTTGATTATGCCAATTTAGTTAACTTGTTAAGCATTAATATAAAATTGACTCTACTTGTAATGGTGATTGGTATGATGATGATGATCCCAGTCCTAAACAGGGTTTATTATTCACAATGTCATTATGCCCTTTCTAAGTTTTAATAAAATACATGGAATATTGGTGAATGCATTTTATATTTTTTGTATAGATAATGTTGCAATGTACAATGATGATGTGAATTGCTTCCTTGTGTAACTGATGACATATAAATATAACTAACTTGAAAACATGGGAATGCTTTCTTCAGCATTACCTTCCTTTCTCCATCATAACCCTTATAATCTTTATTACAGAAATGGTCACTGCATATTCTTGCATTTTTTGATGGAAGCCATTTGAAATCATTTATTTCCTGTCTGATGCACTTAATCCAATCGTTTGCA